GAAATATGAAAATTGGAAAATGGAATAAATTAATAAAATATAAAAAATACAATATAGTTACAAATTGAAAATAAAAATTACATTATTAAAAAATATCAAATAAATTAAATAAAATTAAAACAAAATTTATAATAATTTGAAAAAATGTTATACAACTATTGAGTATATGAAAAAAACATTGACTTCATCATTTTCTCCTATTGTTCTTGGCTTTGATCATTTGCTTGATGTGAAACATCAAGTGTAGTGTCATAACCTCCTTTGTCTTATAATCTATCTTCAGCATCCAGCCAATCTTTAAAGCTGATGTACATCTTTAGACTTTCATCATTCATACATCTTCTCTTGCCGTCCAACACCTGCACTAAAACAAGACTCCAATAGAACTATAGACACTGGAAGGGTTAGTAGATCATGTGTCATGATGGCGAGAATTGGATAATCTTTTGCTTATTCACTCCACTAGACTAAAATATCAAAATTATTTGATTCATCCGATGTGAAGGAAGAATCTCCTAAAGTAGAAAAATTTTCTTGTAAATAAAAATTAAATTCAATAAATGAACTTATTGTCGAGGCAATGGATTTCTGCCACTTACTTATTAAATAATTTTTTTTTCTCTTCCACTACTGGACTCAAGTTCAGAAGTGGAAGATGTAGCTGTACAAGTTGTAGAATTTTTATTATTCCATGTTACTTCAAATTCATATAAACTATACATTTCAAATAATAAACTTTTAATTTCTTCTTTTTTATTTCCAATTTCAATATTCATATTTTCACAATATGTTTCAAGTAAAATATCTAAACCATCTTTCCTAATACTATGATCTAATATTATAGTTAAGCAATAAAGAAGAGAAATGTTCTCCCAATATTTTTTAAATTTATTTTCCATTATTTTAACAATACTTTTAAATTGTAGGTTATTTCTATATTTTGCAAAACAATCACTAATTATCATTAATTGATAACCTAAACTACAACTAATTAGATAATAAATACCCGATAATTCATTAATTGTATCATAAAAATGTTTAAAAAAAAATCTCTTATACAAATTGTCATTTCCCAATCTTCCTAAAATATAATATCAGTAGGCATTTTTGCATTATAAAAATCACTAAAAATTTGTTTGTGAGGAATACAACTTTCTAACATAGCATAGGTAGAATTACATCTATGTTTAACATCTAATATAAAATGTTTATATTTTAAACCATAATTTTGACATAAATATTTAAATTCTTGTTTTCTTGCTCCAAAACTTTTAATATATATATAATACAATTTCTAATTTTAGAAATATGAGTAGAAATAATATTTAAAACATCCTGAACATATAAATTTAAGATGTGACATGCACATCTGATATGAAATAATTTATCACTTAAACATGACTTTAATTGATATTTTAAAATATTTATTGCTGAATCATTATTACTGGCATTATCAAAACTAATAGAAAATAATTTATTGTCAATTCTATAAGCATGTAAAGTATTTAAAATACTTGCAGCAATAGTTGGGCCAGTATGTGGCCATTCAAGCCTAGTAAAACTTAAAATTCCTTTATTTAAAAGCTAATTTTCATCAATAAAATGACTGGTAACACAAATATAACTTATGTTAAATTTAGAAGTCCAAATATCAGAAGTAATTGCAACTTTAGAATTAAGATTTGATAATATATAAATTAAATTTTGTTTATATGAATAAAAATTTTTAAAGCATCTAATCTAATAGTATTCCTAGAAACTTTTTTAAATTGTGAATTTACAAAATTACATAACCAATTTTCAAATTTAGTATTTTCAGTTAACAAAAATGGTTGTTCAAAATGTACAATGTATTTTGCTAATTCTTGCCTCATTTTTTCTTGAGAATATTTAAAATTACCAACCCCTCTCCCCAATTTGTGTTTGTGTTGTTTCTTCTCTTTTTCTTCTTCTTTCTCATGAATGAGCAAATGTCTGCCCAGATAGTCAGTACCACCCTTGTTTCAATAGCTAAAGTCTTTCATACATTTTTAACAAACAATTCTTTTTCCCTTCCCCTGAACCTCCTCTACTTTAAATATTTTTCAAACCAAGCTAATCAACTTAGTGGTCTTCTTTTTCTTTCCCCTAGTATTGTACTAGGGGTGGAAGTTCCATCAATATCAATAGCATCCATATTGGTGCCAACACTACCATGCTGTGACTGAATATCGTCGGCATTGAACATATTGGGGAATTGGTTTTGAGAGGAGCCAACCACTTTTTTAATTCTAAAAAATAAAAAATTAATTTAATTGCACTTATCCGAATTGCCAGTTCAGAATCCCAACTTGATTTCAACGGTTGAAGCCTTTCAACTCCAAGAGTCCAAGCCTCCCAAATTTCTAACTTGAGATACTTGAATTGTTGAGCAAGCCTTCTTCTTGTTGAAACTTCAATAAAGTTGAGAATTGGAGAATCAAAGAATGTATGGGAGATTCAGATATTGATACTTGAGAGAGTATGAGAACTAGAGAAGAAATTAAGAGAATTGTTGAATTAGTGTGATGAGAATAGTGAAGAATAGAGCTATTTATAGGAATTGAAAATAATTCAATTGCCCAAAATACCCTAAAAACTAGCCATTTTTTATTTGTTGAGAGAGGTATTTTGGATTGTAAAGTTATTTATCTCATTACCCAAAATTGCCCCCAAACTAAGCTATTATATAGTTGTTGGGGGCATTTGTATTATTCTTTTCCCCCCGAAATCAAAATTCATAAATACCCTCTTATATAGCTATTTATACCTATTGGGGGGTATTTCTACGGGCCCGTGGGCTGTGCCGCATGCGATGTTGTAGGCTGAGCCGTGGGCCATGCTGTATTGTACTGGCCCGTGGACTTGGAACCCCAAGCCCAACACAGCCCGAACCATCGTGTTAGGCTTGGCATGGCCCATATGCCATCGTGCCATGTCGTGGTGGTCCAGTCCACATTCGGGCTGGGCTGCAGAGAACACGAGCCAATTTACAACTTTATTTCAAATGCAATGTGGGTCACTACAACTGGGGGTGCAACTTGGGTAGGATTGGGATGGGAGTTGTCAAATTTTCAATGGGCCCAAACTGTGACCTGTAACCCGAGTCCGCTGTAATTGAAATTCTTGGCAACCCTATTGACTATTCCACAGGGAATCTTCACAACCTTCTCCAACAAAGCACCATTTTTATCCTTAATCCTCCCCAACTAGAAGCCTCTATCCTTTTTTTTTCCTTTTAAACACTTTCCCAATTGATTGATGATTTTGCTCGGGTTAGGCCAATAAAAGGCCAGACCCTAATCCTAAATATTCAGATTAGGATTGACCCAGAGGTCAATGGTTCAAATGTTTGGATCAACTGGTTTTTGACTAAATCAACATCGGTTTGAAAGTAAGTGACATGACAATGACCCATAAACCAACCCGAATTCTTTTAGGGTCATGTCGGGTCAGGCTGTCTCCTAACTCGGGTCACTGGATAAGAAGCCCCAACATTTTTTTTCGGGTTGGTCGGTTTCATGGGTTGGGGCATACTTTTTGCCATGTCTACCTAAAGCCCGTTATATGACTCAATTGAAAAGTGGACCTTTATTATGCGCTTTCACACCCTTTTACCCTTATTCATATAATATGATATTCGAATTCGTTGTGCCATACTAAAATTGGTTTATCTTTGATCCAAAAACACAAAGGTGGGCCTAAGGCGACTTCAAAAAAGGCATATTATCTTGATTACCATTATTCCATGTCAATGGTTTATTTTTCAAATTTAACCAGGCAAAGTGTCAATGACAAAGAAACATGAAGGGTGGGAGCAACTTTCTGTATGACTCAGTTTGGAAGGAGTACAAATACAGATTTGTAGAATGTGCCTTGTATTATGGTAGGCTTACGGTTGACAATGTACGTGCTCTTTCAGCTTTCTAGCAATGTGTTTCTGACTAGTCAAAGCATCTGAGAAGGCTCCATTTGGTGCATGTTTTCGTATTTGGTTCGTAGTAGATCTAGCTGCTAAAAGTCGATGCATCGAAAAGACGCGAAAAGCCCATTATAGACGATTTTCAAGAAGCTTCAAATGGAACTTTTCACTATTTTTCGATTCATATTTGTGCGGAAAGACACATCTGAACCAAACGGTCTTCAGGCTATCAAGATCTTAATGCAAAAGCTCACTGCGTCTTTTGACTTTCAAAACTACCAAAAGATCTTCTCAAAAAGACTTGTCAAACGGCTCCCATCTTTGTGGGTTTTTAACTTTTAAGTACCGAGACTATCTAATTAAGACCAATGTTTGGGAGTGCTTATACTAAAAATAAGTACTTAAAAACAAGTGCTTATTCGAATAAGCACTTATTTGCATTTGGCACCCAACATTTTCAAGTGCTTCATATTGGGCCTTTGATAGTCTTTTTCTGCAATAAGCACTTAAATACGCATTTGTGACTATTTTGTCCTTCATTTTCTTTTAAATTTTCAAAATATATCCTTATGAAATTACTTTTATTGACACTTTTATGAAAGTACTTTTATAAAATTCAACTAGTGATAATTTTATAAGTGGTATTTTAAAATTCAACTAGGGATAATTTTGGAAGAAAAAAATGAATAAGTGCTTATACAATAAGCACTTAAAAAGGTTAGAAATTTGGGCTTAAAAAATAAGCTATTATTTTTAAAGTAAGCACTTATTTCGGGCTTATTTCCCAAATACCAATAAGTGCTTAATAGTGTGGTCCCTGCCCAAATAAACACTTATTTTTAACCACTCCCAAACATTGCCTAACTTGAAAAAGTTCAGTTGAAGCAGAGCTATTAGTAACTGCAATACACCCATTTCCATTAAGAATTGTTAGCATATGAAATTGTGTGATGCAAAGCTATTTGTGTCTATGTTTCTTGAATAGAAAGAATGCAAACAGCATGACAAAGCCTCTTAGTCGTCTGTTAGGAATTAACTCAGTTAATTGACAAAAGTCTGGTTTGATGCATTTCATTGATATATTACTTCTATAAACAGCTCTGCCTCATGCAAATTATATAATTTGTTCTCAATGGAAGGGAATTGTTACATTCATGTCTGCTAATAGAAAGAAGGTTCTAGTACATATTATCAAATCTCTACAGGCATGTTTGTTATAATTTGTATATTTCTGCATGATACTATGAACTACAACATGTTTGCAGTATTGATTTCTGATTCATCTTCTTCACATTCTAGTAGAGCTTGTACTACTGTATCCATGGTTGGTCTCTTGCTTCTGTCCTCCTCTATACATGATATGCCGATTTCTATCATCATTGCTGCCTGGTTCCTGTTGAACTGGCCTCTCAAACTTGGATCCACTATATCATCAACCCATGTGTCTTCTCCATACTTGATTTTTCTCTTCACCATCCTGATGAATCGTGTTAATTCTGCTTCCTCTTCCCCATTGACCACCACCCAATTGGACAGTCGAATGCCCTTTACAATCTCTAGGAGTACAACCCCATAGCTATAAACATCAACCTTTGCAGTGATGGGAAGATTCAAAGCCCACTCCGGAGCCATGTACCCTTTTGTTCCTCGAATCCTAGAGAACTCTGAACCAGACCCACCTCTGTGAGATAACTTTGCCAGCCCAAAGTCTGAAACCTTAGACTCAAAATCCTTGTCCAAAAGAATATTTTCAGGCTTGACATCACAGTGGATTACCCACTCAAGGCACTCATGATGAAGGTATGCCAGACCTTTAGCTGTTCCTAGTGTAATCTTAAACCTCTGTTTCCAATTTAGGGGACTAGCTCTGCTGCTAGTGTTGCTTCTGCTAATGCTGGCATTGGAGAACAGGTGCTTATCCAGTGATCCATTTTCCACATACTCATAGACCAACAATCGTTCTGTCCCTTTACAACAGAACCCCCACATTCTAACTAGATTCATGTGGTTGATTCTCCCAAGTGTGCTCACCTCAGCCCAAAATTCTTCTTCTTGAATCACCTCTCCCAATTTCTTCACTGCCACTACTCTATTGTCCTCCAAAACTCCCTTATAAACGGCCCCAGAGCCACCCCTTCCCAACTCTTCTCTGAACTTCTTGGTTGCCTTCTGCAGTTCAGCATAAGTAAATCTCCTGAATTGATTAAGCATTACTTGGTATCCATCCTCCATTGGTGCTTTCAATTTTTGTTTCCTGAAGAGACACCACCAACCTGATGCAATAAACAACACCTCAATTGCACCAATCAGAAAAACAAATGAGTATAGGTATTTCCATTTTGCCCTGCTGCTCCCCGTGCTACCGATACCGGATGAATGCTCTAACACTTGTGTTTTGGATCCACAAGTGAGATCAGAACCCATTGGAGCAGAGGTTCCTGATGTTTCCAAACTTTTGGGGAGTTTCAAATATATGGTGCCCTCAAAGTCTGGTGATTGGAAACCATTGTAGAGTGCACTCTTCAGAAAACAGAATGGTTTCCCTGTTAACCTATAAGTAAAAGCCTTACAAGAGCATTCCTGTAAGCACTGATTCTTGCAAGATTCTAGTGTTACAGACTGTCCGGGGCCCAAATCAAACCCATAAAAATCTGTATGTGGAAGCTCAACGAATTTCACCTGCTGAGGTTGGTAGCACCTTCCTTTGAACTTGGGCTTGCAACCACTGTTCCAGTTGCTTGGTTCCTTCATCTCGTAAGCTGGTGGACATGAACACTTTGGTTTTGGTGTGTAAACACAAATTCCATATTCTCCACACAGTCCTCGTACTAGGCACTGTTGTGGGACTGCTTCCCATGATACAACCCAGGACCCATTTGACTCGTTTAAGCTATAGAGTCTGAGATTACCATCATAATCCATTGTTAATCTTCTTTTGATTCCATGACCCAAATCAGTAGCAGATATTCTCATGCTATCGCTTGATGAAAACCTACCCATTTCATCAAGCACTGCAATTCGGGTTCTGTTGTAACCGATTCTGTCATTTTTTAGTACACCAACATCAGGATTAGGCCAATAGGCACTGGAAAAGTCAGGCCCTTCATGAATTAATTTGAGAACATTGTCGTTATCGAAGAAGAGAGCATAGTAGCCTGAGAAATATGAGTTGTTACCCGTTGCAGAGACCAGTTTATTGTTCCTGATGAGGGGTTGCAGAGGAAGAAGAGTATCGGTGGGATGATCAAAGCTTTGCCACAATACTTTACCATATGGATCCTTCAGGACAAGGTTTCCAGTGTTCAGGAGCTCGGCTTTCTCCGCCTTGGTGTTGGTGGTGTTGGTGGACCAAATGGCTGAGCCTTCGGCATCGGTGAGGACCATGGTGCCATCTCGGTGCAGTGAGACTCTTGAGCGTTGTCCATTGATAGGTTGGTCTCTGTTAGCCATCCAAGCAACTGTCCTTTCTTTGGAATTGGTGAACCAAATTGCGAAACTGAAGGCGTTTACGCCAACCTGGTAAAATCCACAGGTGAAGGATCCATCCGCGGAGGTAAGAAGGTCTGAAGCATAATTTTCAACTAACAGAGAAGAGCCTCTGTGCAAGGAATTACGAGGTGCTGAAGATGCACAAGCGTAGTGAAAGGAGATCAGAATGGAAAGAAGAGAAAAAAGAATAGTTGGAGACTGAGCATGTGGGTGTTTCATGCTCGCACTTGATCAGTTAAGCTCTATGCTCTATGTAACAACTCCAAGATGAAATCAAGAAGAACTGAGATGAAAGTTGAAACCCAGAAGAAAAAAAAAAATAGAGGACAACACACAGAGAATTAGAGGAGGCACATTTGAGGTAGTTAAATTGGATCCTCACCTCACCTAGCTTCTTAGTTCTTACCACCCGGCACTCCGAATCCAACTCTTCACTGGTGGCTGGTGGAAAGCTTGCTTTAAAAAACAGAGCAAGCAAGTAAGCAAACAAACAACGAAAACAAATAAACGAGAGAATAAAACTCAAATTGGTGTAGTGGTGCTGGGTTAACTTTGGTTGTTGGGCCAACAGCATAGGCAGTCGAGACAGTTCACCTATTCACCTCATGTTTTTATTTTTAGTCAAAATAAATTAAGATATAATTATTAATTTATCCATTCTCAAAAATTCTCTCAACAGTCATAGGCTGTCGGCTTCCAATGGCTAAAGCTTTTGGGAGAACGAAGGTTCAGCTCAGGGTCTAGACCCAAAGTACAGTTTGGATGGGGTGGGGTGCCAGTTCAGAATTGATATCAATTCATGGACCGACATTGACGTCTAGATTGGGAGTTTTTTTGACCTTTTGATGTTTATAGATCTACAGTGAAAATCAGAAATCTGTATTGAACCCGTACTTAGTGGTATTCATAAAAACCCGAAAAATTGAACCAAATCGAACCACAAAATACAGTTAATTAAAAGAAAAACCGATACCACCAATCATAGCTCGATTAACCGAACCGTGAATGCCCCTACCCGTACTTCTTCCTAAGTTTTTTTCCGATAGGCTGTTGGGATCAACCCGTAGGGCTGTGGGGACAATACTAAACGCGTTGATTAAATGCGAGTCGCTTTTACTCGTCCATTGTCGTCGGTCAATGCAAATTATCAATAATCCACCAAACAGAATTGGGATCTTTTCCTCACTTAGCACTCGTTACACCGACTTGACATCCACATCTCACCGTGTATTAAAAATCATGTCAACAGGTTGGTTGGTGCTACAAATCAAACGAATCAACATGTACCCCCAAGCATGAACGAACTTTCTAGGGTAGTGAAGAGTGGTTGGAATGAGAAACTGAGGGTTTGGATTCTAGGGCTCTCAGAATTTAAATAGAATAGATAATCAGACTTGAGGAAGACTTCTTCGGTCTCTAATTTGTTTGTGTTGGTCTCTTGTTGCTTTGTATTGTGGAGGTGCCTTCTTATCAGTTATCACCTTCCAATATTTTTTTTTCTTTTTAATAAAAGTTTTTTATTACTATAAAAAAGAAAAAAAAAAAACTCCCACCTGCATCAAGGGTTGAGAAATGGGCTATCCTTCTCTGGATCATCTACTAATAAAAGACATTCCACCACCCTTCCAACATGATCTGACACATACATCTCATATATGACAGGCCCTACTTTTGTGAAGTGTGGTGCCAGATTATGTTGGGAGAGAGTTGGAGCATCTTTTGTTAGCAGATGATCCCAACTCATCCCCCACATGTATAACCCTATATAGAGTCCAAATAAAAAATAAAATAAAATAAAATCTTCCTAGGTGTGATGTACATGTACCATGAATTCAGATTTAATCATCACAAAATCCATTCTCACGATTGTTATAGCTGTGTGCGATGCCATTGCTATTTTCAACATACTGGGTCAATGAGAATTAAATTTGGTGAGAAATATGTGTTATCACATATATCATATATGGGAGCCAATTCAACTAGAAAAAAATTGCATGTGTGGAACTGATCAATGTTGAAATATTAAATTCGATGTTTTAAATCAAAACAATAACATTGAATTCGTCAACCCAAAATAAATTGGTAAAAGAAACCATCTTTCACAAATTTATATAAATCAACCCAAATTGTTACAAGAATGATACTAAACACAACCTATATCTTCTGAAACTGGAATCTTGCATAAGATGACACCTAAGGGTGGACTCGAGCTGAGTCGAGCTGAATAGTTAACAATTCGAGCTCGACTCGCCAAGGTAGTACAAGATTGGTGCTTGAGCTTGAGCTCGGTTCAAGCTAGAACCTTCAGCTCGAGCTTGGCTCGGCTCAAGTTTGACTTGAGAAAAATGTTTTATAAAAATAAAATACATATATATAAAATATTTTTATTTGATATTTAAAAAAGTAAGAATTATAATAATTAATTATTATTATATATAAAAATAAAAACATTATATATATAATATTTTTATTATATATATATATATATATATATATATATTATTTTCTATAATTTTATATTATTATTATTATTATTATTATTATGTAGCTATTTGAGCTCAGCTCGCGAGCTTCATGAATCGATCTTTATTAGGCTTGAGGTCAGTTCAATTAATAAATGAGCTTATAAATTGGGCTCAAAGCTCAATTGAAACCGAGCTGAATCGAGCTCGAATAGCTCGTAAAGAACTCGTTTTGTGGCCACCCCTAATGACACCATAAATAGTGTTATTATTTAGGCTGGTGTGTTTTAGTTTTAGGTGGACGCATCCATTTGGGCATACCCATAATCATGAATAGGAGAACCACAACAAAATATAACTATTTTATGTTTTAAACTCAACACTTCTGCGACATTTCTTTGTCAATACAAAGATCTTTCTAGTCTATTAATTAATTAAAGTCCTTGTTGCGTTCAAAGCAAATTATGAAAAATTAACCAATTTAGGCATTGTTCATTTATATATTGGTTACTTATCCAGGGTGCACTTATTTGGTAAATGTTTTTTAGGTGACATTTACCTATGTTATTTTGAGTATAAGATGAGTAATATAATTACTTTTTTACACATAAAAGCCAATGTTAAAATAGTATGTTTATAAAATTTTCCCCAAAAGAAAAAAGTTATTTACCCCCTGAGAAATGACGGATGAATAAATTTTAATCGGGTAAATGAAATTAACTTTATTGTGTGGTCAAGTACTTATTATAAAAAAAAAAAAAATCTGTAAAATTGGTTAATGGATATTCCCCTCTTATTTTTCCGGTAAACAAATGGAGCCTTAATCACTTAATCACAGATCAAATGGTTCAACCATTCGGCTTGATTTATTGAGATGTTATGAAAAATTAAGAATTAAAAGTGGAAAATAATTCTAAATTAGCTATTTTGCATCAAAATAATCACAGAACAATGAATATTATATCAATAATAAAAACATCCACTTAAAATTTTACACATGTTTTATGGGAAATTGACCAAGCTAACATTTCTATGGCCAATTCAAAAATCTGTTTTTGGCTGCTGGTTCCCGAGTCTAATGATCTGACCATCCATTTGGGTTGAGCCTGAAAACATTGGGTTGTGTTGGAATTGGTGTTCCCTGAGTTATAAGCGTCTAGATACTTGTCCAGCCCATCCGGTCTAATCTGGTTCTATTTGGGTTCTTATTTATCAATATAAACAAATAAAAGCTTAGATTATCCACTTCAACTCCATTATCGAAGTTTTCAATTTTTCATATGCGGGAAAGACTTGATATCCAACGCTAGTTTTTACCAATCAAAATCCCCGAATTTGATAAATAAATAGGGATGCAAATGGATCAGATCAGATTTGAATCAGGGCATATTTGAATTCAATTCAACATTGTTAATATCGGATTCGATCTTATTTGAAGATTTGATCGGATCTTGGATCTTTGGATCTGATTTGATCCAATTTGTTTTTTTTTTAAATAATAAATTATTAAAAGAAAGAATAAAATATACCAATTTAAATAAAGAAAAAATAAAAAATACAAGTATTTTTTTAATTATTTTCATCATATATATATACATGTTTTTTATAAAAAATACACAATATAACAAATTTATAAAAATATAATATAAATAATATATTTATAAATATATATAATGCATATATGTTATTTATTTATTTATAAATATATAACACAATGGATTGGATCTTCTTGGATTGAATAGGAGGATGATCCGAATTCAATCTGATTTCTGATCGGGTCATAAGATCCAATTCGATCAGAAGATCCGACCAAAGGTGATCCGAATTCGGCCAAATAAGATCCAAGATTCGGATCAATGATCCGATCCATTTGCACCCCTATAAATAAGCAGATGATTGGTTATCACTTTTATGAATCATGATACCGTAGATGGATCAATCCCAACTCCCAAATTGTGTTCCATGAATACATTGAATTATTTTAGGGGAATAACAAGTCGGATAATATTATTAAAAGAAATTGTGGCTGGAGCTTTACGACGATATCAAATGGGGCGATGGGACTCTCTGTAAGTAAAAACTTTACAAACACCATGAAAAACATGGGAATCCAATCATACATTGGGAACATCTCCACATGAGTTTAACATACATGTATCTATGGGAGATGTTCCCAATGTGCGGACTAAATATTATGTGAGTAAAGTTTTTGTTTGGAGGAGATCGGGGCTCTCAGTTGGGCATGCACGGCTCTTTGTGATGCTCTTTATTTTGCTAAGGTGCTTGGTATATCCATGTTCGAAGGTGTTGATTGATACGATGATTCAGGGTTGAGCTCAGCTAACGCTCTTTGGGGTTCGTTTGGTTCATAGGCAGAATCAAAATCTTTTAAAATCGGAATCGGAATGATCTATTCTCATAATCTGTTTGGTTCAGAAAGGAATGAAAATGGGGATTAAAATCAACAGGAATGGGATTTCATTCCCAAGGGAGGGGCAGAGACTGGTCATTCCCCCAAATGGGGGAATGTCATTCCAGCAGAAATGGGAATTGGATTCTAATTCCGCCCAACCAAACAGTTTCCGATTCCAGACTCCTATTCTCACGAACCAAACGGGCCCTAAATATCAGCTTCTCCCATGTTTTTGCATAACGGTAATTCAGTTGGTAAACTTTGCTTGCGATTCTCTTGTTGATAGTTGTTTTGACAATAGGGATGCTCTTCCACGTTCTGTTCATATCTCTCTTGTTGATGATCTTCTTTTCCTTCCTAGGCTTAAATTTGGCTAATTGTTTTATTATAAGGTTGGGGATGAGTGATTATGATGAGCATCTGATGTACTCACCTTAAATAAAATTTTAAGGTGGCTACCCCTCCACTTGAAGTAAATTTTGGGGATTAAAAACAATTAAGGCCCCATTTGTTTAGCAGGAATAGGGGTCTAGAATTGGAATCGCAATCGGAATGGACTATTCCGATTCCAACTGTTTGGTTAGGCAGAATCAAAATCTTATTCTCATTTCTACTGGAATGGCATTCCTCTATTTGAGGGAATGG